CGTGAAGGCCACCATGTGATCATGAGACAAACAGAGAGAGCTGTGACTCTGACTAAAGCTGAGTCAGGCTAGCATGGCATAAATAGTGAAATGGGTCCCCAAAATAGATTATATAAGAGAGCCTTTATAAACATTCAACTAAATGTTAAAAGCTCAGACTTATTCCCATTTGGGTCTTTTTTATTTATTTCTTTTATTATTATTTTTTTTTAAGTTGGCAGTTTCCTCTGCAACTATTAAACTGTAGTACCCTTGAAAACAGTATGGGAGAGCAGAGTATATACTGTAAACGCACACACATACATCTGTAAACACACACCTATACAGCTACAATTATTACATTATTACAATTGAAAAAATTCACTGACTTCTTCACTGAATCGGCTCAAATGACTCACTCTCTCACTGAACCGCATATTATATTCAATTCTACACAACATGCGCACTATGAATACAAATCTAATAAATCTGATGATGAGGTAAGAAGCCAAATAGATGAGGAATTAAGTTTGTAAACACACTGCCCATTTAAGCAGAGATATTGTCAAGTATTTAGTGTAATACAAACTCTACGGAAATTCTACAGCAGTCAAAACCACTAACGTTAGTAATACACTTAACACAACTAAGGGGTAACATGTTATGCAGCATGAACTTATGTAAGACTTTTTAAGTGTCATTAAATAATGCATCATAAAACTTAAATATTTGAATAGAACAATAACCCCTTATATAAATAAATAAGGTTTAATATACATGTGCAAGAGTCTGTTATTCAACATGGTCAAAAAAAAATCATGAATCACATTTAAGTGCCAAAAAGAAACATACTAAAATAGATCGAAATGAATAAGGCAAACCATAAAGGCATGAAACAAATATTTAACCAGTCTCCTCCAAGTAAAATGTCTTTTTAAGGACTCCATGTCTAAACCACTAGTTGCAGTGATGCATGTGGCAGCTGCTTATCCAGCACTAATGTTAGCCTCCGTTAGCTGATTAGCTTAGAAATGAGCATACAACAGTCCTGCATTTCCTGCATTTTACCGACTGAAGCCACGCTGACGAACCAGACCGAAGTAATATTACTCTCGATATTATGAAAGGTAATCGTGGAGTACTAGCAGATAGATATGTGATGTTTACATATGAGCAAGGGCAGCTGAGTGACTCAGGTAAGTTAGCGCTTAGCTTTTAGCTCGCTAGCTAACGGCTAACGTTACAAGCTACCGAAGTAATTCAGCTCTCCCTGCTGTTTATTAATAAAACAGGCTCAATTCCCACAGCAAAGCAGTTTTGGAGTCTTGAATGTACTTACGTGGAGAGTTTCCGAGTCCAAAGTAAAACTCCGGGCCATAACTCACGGAGCTGGACAGCTCGACCCAAGTTCCCTTTAATCTGGGCCAAAATGTCATTGGATTCGCGGTCTAGTTTGTTTGCGTAAGGGAGAAGTTTGTTGTAGACGATCTGTTTCTGAGGGACAAAACCTAATATCTCGGCCTGCTCCTTTTTCATATTACGATTTCCAAAAAGAAATATCCTCTTCTGACGTGTCCGGCTTATTTCCTTCACCTCTCTACAGAAGTTCGCTTGACAAATCTTTGTTTTATTCACAAAATCCGCTATTTTCGCATATGTGCCGGTGTTGTGGAGCGGGTTTCAGATCAAAACTGGTTTCTTCGACAGATCTCTGTCTTTCTGACCTCTGGTGTTAAACACATTAGCTTCAGTCACCTACAAATAGAGAAGTCTCCCCTCACTCTCTTGACACATATTACGAGTCACACGGACAGACACACCGGCGAGCGCAGCAATGAGCCGTGAGCGGCGCGCCCCCTGCCGGTGTTCCCCTGCACATTCAGCAATAACAACGTGGCCTGTTAGCAATGTTGTCAAAAGGGAACATTTCAAAAGCGTAAAAATAAAATAAATTAATAAATGTAATGTTAAAAAATGTAAAATAAAGTTAACACTAAATTCATTTGTAATTTTCATAAAGTGTAAAATAAAAAGCAAAAAATATATTAGTATATTAAAAATATATAATATATATATATATATATATATATATATATATATAT